TATATATATATATATACCTGCCCCATGAATTCTGCTGTTTCCTGTAATGTCATTGTAGGCTTGCCATCTCAGTTTTCAAAATATAAATCCTTATGAGTGATAGACATGTCACAGCTGAAATTAATAGAATGCAGGACTCCTTAGAAACCACAAAATTCCTTTTTACACCCAGGTGTCTGCAGTAATATATGTATATGAAATGCATTACTGCATGTGTTTGCACAGGCACATGCATGTTTTTAAAGGTCAACTCCAGCCATCCATTATTGGAACCCCAACAGCAATAAGAATCCTGACAGATGTTCTAAATCTTCCCCTCTTAACTAGAAACTACATGTGTTTTTTGTATTGCTGCCTGCATTCCTTTATGGGGGGGAGGTTCCTGTTTATTTTAACCGGTGTTACAACAGGTTTTAAAGTAATTAAAACCTAACAGTGGTCCACACACTAATCCGAAATAGAGAAGAAAAAGTGTTGACTAGGGTGTGGCTTTAAAGAAAATGCTACATATCTTTTTTTTTTTAAAGCATGCTAATCTACAGTGCATAGGTGTGAACTAACCGCATAGTAACGAATGGCTTTTTTACTTGAAGTACATTTTTATGTGGTAAAATATATGTGTTTTACCGCAGGAAATAGACCTGTGAATGGACCATAATAGGACCCTAACAGTAACAGTTTTTTCCTGTGTACAGTTGTATTAATTAGTAAGATTATAACAGAATGACACTAATTATGTGCCCTGTGACTATGAAGAGAGCTGGATATGACCTGTTAGTGGTCACAGATGACTTCTTCTTGTTTATATTGTCAGGTTCACATTAAACCATACACTTCCAAGTGAATTTCTGGACGTCACATAAGCTGTAGCTCAGTGCATTTCATTCAGACACTATGTTCGGGATGTGCATAGGGAAACTTCCCTTTGTTATGTAGTGAATTTATATGCTCCTGTGTATCAGTATTTCTTTCAGATACCTTCTCTTTCTTATTTAAAATTGGTTGTTGTGTGAATTTTCAGTGTTAATTATAAAGAAATAATGTGTATACTATAGGAAGAGAACCAGAGCTGTTTCTGGGCCAATTCATCATAATCGACATTATAGCAGTTTCGTTCTTCTATTGGAGCTTTACTCGTCATGACTGTGTAAATGCTCCATTACAGCTAAGGATCTTATCTACAACCTTGTTATGTAGCAACATGGTACCTAATGACCCATATAGCATAACATAGCCTAAGAAGAACCATAAATATCAAGGAGTGATAAGCAACGTTGCTCAACTAAACCTTCAATACAAGCCCCATATATTTTGATTGATTATTGTTGGAATAGGGCTAAAGATGTACAAATGCCATGTGTGTTTTACATATTCTAGCACCTGTTACCTAAACCTTGATGATATATATATTTGTGAATGTTACTAGTCATTTGTGTGTTTTAGGTTTTGCGACCCTTGATGATATTTATAGTGACTTAAAGTATTTCAGGTAATTGAAAAGCAAGACAACCAGACAACTAGCTTCCATATATTCCTCTCAGAACAGGTTTCCTCTAACTGCTAAGTCCTTTCACAATGCAGGATTATATTATCCTGACTTCTATAAGTGATGCCGCTATACATAGTTTAGTCTCTACGATTTAATAACTTCGCTTTGACCACTTTTTTCTGAAGACGGTACAAATCACTTACTAGACATTAAATGGCCGCTTAACCTAAAACACAAGTTGCCTTGCGTAAAGCATCAGTCAATGACATTCACAAATATATATGGCTGAATTCCCATACCTAGACACAACTTATACAGTACAAAGTATTAATATTTGTGTGCAGCTATGCACAGTCTATACTTGGTATATTGCCCAGCATTTCAAGATATTTAAAGCCTCTCTGCAGTATTTTTCATTTAGGCTATTGAACAGCAAGTAACCCGCTGTAGAAAAATGTCTTTCCCTACAGTAAAATGTAAGCTTATTTAATCATTTTAAAGCCCAACTGAAGTATTGGAACTTTGCAACTCTTTATCGTGCTCTGCCAGCACATGTTCTGTTTTGTGACTGATTTTTGCTAGGGAATGCTTTAAAACACCCTTTATGTTCAGTGCAAATGCTGCTTCCTGCTCCTACCCCACTTTGGTGCTAGGCTGAGTAACAGACGCACCCCTCAACATACAGGATTGTATTGTAGGCAAAGAGAAAATGCATGTCAGAAGACATCTATGTGAATTACTGAAGGCAATGGGTCTTTTCTGGTGTCTATTGGTCTGCACAGTCCTATTTGGACCCCCCCACACACACACACACACCTCTGTCACAATAGAGGTAAGACTTTATTAGACAATTGAATTTGTTAGTACAATGACACTCACTCAATACTGTATTTCTGTGACTTCAGTTGGGCTTTAGTTATATCTTTAAATTGTATCCATATGGCAGTAATATGGGCAGCTTGTACTCTAGGCTTATTCTTTCTCAGTAATGGATTTGTGCTAGGGAGGATAGATTACCTAAATGGATATGCCACTTTCACAAAAAAAATGGAAAGCTTGGAAGTGTGATGTTCAAGGGGTTTGGGATCCCTCTTCACCCTTGGACCCTGCAACCAGCTGTTTGGATTTTCTAGCCTACAATTTTCCATCCTGAAAAAACTGATCATCACATTTCCATTGCAGGGGCTTCCCACTTTTTACTGCAAATGGAAAAACCTTTGAAGAGGAAACATTCTTTGTAGGCAATTGTCTGTCATCTTGAATAATAAGAGTTGTTCAGTATGTAATAATAAAGTAGTTGTGGAGTAATGGGAAAACCGGCCCATAACCCCAGAGTTGTAGAAAGCCATATGCCATTGACTGAAATTCAGGTTTTTACAGGGTTCATTCTTGGCAATGCCATTAACAGCTTAGTTTAGCATTGTAGATAGAGGTGCTATTAAAACAGGATAACTCTGTTGCAATATACCAGCAAAATGAACAGAGTGGAAAGTCTTTAATAAAACTAGATACTGGTACTGATAAGGTACGGAAGATCCAATCAATTAATTTACAATAGGTATGGGTTAAAAAGATTAAAAATATGGAAGTGGCAATCTACATTCACTCTCCAATGTCGGCTCTGACCCTTTGGGAATAACGTTTCAGCAGGCGGTTTTTTACAACCAAAGCTCAGTTTGTAAACTTGCCAAATGTTACAACTCTACTAACACATCTGGGGTATATGCAATAATATCCTGTTGTAATCTTAAATGTCAATTGATTTAACCAAATGGCTGGTTCATTTGGTTAATACAGCCTATGGCCTTTATCTTTGTGGTTATTTTATGTTTTTTATTTTGCAAAAAAGAAAGAAAATGTCAATAAACTTATTGAAATATAGAGCTTTGTTGTTTGTGTGGTTTCTTTGTTACCTGATTCCTGATTACATTGATATCTGAAGAGTAATGGCCCATTCAGGCTATGCATTGTGTATTATCATGTATTAAAGTGTACTCCATAAGGCAGCCCATGCACTTGGAATGGACTGTCAACATCATTTAATGGATTATTAAAACCATTGCATTATGAGTATGATGCACTTTAGTGCAGGTGCATTGTCCACTACTATAATAGTGCCTTGATGTGCTCATACTGTACATTACCGCAATGCAAAGATCTGAATGGGCCCTAAAGGAGATGTCCATGCAGTATACATTTTCATATACGGTTAAAGCAAGGCTGTGAGAGCAAATGCCAGCTGCTCACATCGGTTTGGTGCTCTATTGGCAATATCTGCTTAAAAGAGAAGTAAAGGCAAACCTTTGCTGACAATACAAAGCTTCAGCCAGGAAGGATCCTGAAAATATTGTAGCATCCACCTGGTGGCCTGATTGACAGCTGTCTCTGCCTCTCTAGAGCCAGCTGTGCCTGTCCCTGCAGTGAGTGCTGGAGGAAAAGAGGGGGACTCCCTGTGGGAGGAGTGATGACTGACAGCGCTCTCTGCAGGGAGGAGATCATGATCAGCTGTAACATGATTGCTCAGTTCTCAGTATAGGGCCAGCGTGTGACAGCTGCTTTGTCCTACACTGGCTCTAAGAATTGAAGAGAGTTTATTTTACACCCCCAATACCTCTCCTTTAATGGAGATAA